GGGTGGGGAGTTCGAAAGTAAAAATTTTTGTAAACCACTTTTGGGGAAAATATTTCTCCTTTCATTTTTTTGGGAAACCTTTTGCCATTATTTATTTTTCGGTGGATGGGTTTTTTTTTTCTTGAAAGCCTTTGGGAAAGGTTTTTTTTTTGCCCATGTTGGCCCAAAACCGGTTTTGGAGGCCAGGATAAAAAAATGGAAATTTCAAACCCCTGAATTTGGAAATTGGAATTTTGAAATTGTTTCCCTTCAAAATTTATTTTTTTCCGAAACCTGGCCCATTGATCCATTTGATTTCTGCCTTCGGAGTTCCCGGGGAGGAAAAAGGCCTTAAACCGGAAATGAATAGGCCGGCCAGGGTAACCCGGGGGGGGGGGGGGGGGGGGGGGGCGAGACAAACAATCCGAGGGAGAAAGTACGAAACCAACTCATTTTGTGTGAACAACATTTGGACCCGTACGCCCAGAATTGGCAAAAAGCGAGTTATTTACTGTCTGGGTACAAGTAAAATGCCGACTAAGGAGGCCTCGCCACCACATTCAACACTCTCATGAATTGATCCGCACCCAGAAACCAGCGAATGCGCCCTCGATGGAATTGTTGAACGTCCCTCAGGGAGTCGCCCTTGTGCACTCCCCCTCCTGTCGGCAAATCTCGATCGTGCTCCGTCCCGAGTTTAGATTGAGTGGAGGTTGTAGACTTGAAAAAATGTCACAGGGCGCGCATGCTACGTGCTGCAATGCCCCATTTTTTTACGTTGAAACATCTTCCCATGCAACTTTCACAATGGTCCCCTAGAATTACCATGTTAGGAACAAATCGGACGCCGGTGGGAATGACTTTGTTTACCTCGAATTTCAGTTTGCTCTTCTCAGGCTAGAGCCAATCGTCTGGCAGGAATCACCGGTAGGCTGTCCGGGCATTGTTCTTGATAAGCCTTCTCTCTCACACTGGGAATTGGACTCTCAACTTGTTTCGGTTAGATTTAACCCTCGATTCTCCTGTGTGTGCTTAAACGTCGCTCACCCTGTCTAGATCCTGACACGGCTCGGGCAGCTGCAGCACATGGTGGTCGACGGCTTTGCCTCTCTGAAGACTGACCAGGTAAGAGCGGTGACGGGAAACAACTCGCTCCACCTTGCATCACCAGGATTAACAAAACAGCAACGGCTCTTAGCCAGGCCCGTGAGCGTCGAATTTCATCTGCGACGTCTGGTCTGTTTGTGTGCCACTGGCAGAACCACTCTGACCTGCCTGTGGCCTCCATAGCCGTCAAGTGAGATGCGCAGAATCTCCACTGGGAGTGGTTACAGGAAGCCTCACGTTTCGCACCATCCCAACACGTTCGCAGATAATTCACGGGACTATCGCTTTTGTTTGGTTGTGTCCTTTTCTTTTTCGTCCTCCCCTTTCCTTGCCCGCGAATGCCAGGAAGTGTAGCCTGGTGTGCTAGACTTCTCGGGGTTCGACTCGGGTGCCTCCTCACGTGTTCCATGCGGTGGCGTGCAGAAATACACTCAACCTAGGCAGCAGTTGTTCCAGGGTATGACGGTACAGACTGCTCGTTGTTTTGGTCTAACATCTTCGCCTTGACTCCTCTTGTGCGCCTCGTATGATACTCGACTCTTGTGGTAAAGTGTGCGATACTTCCCGTTTGACGTCGCGGCGCTCGGACGAACGATCATTT